CTTGCCGAACATCGTTTCGATCTGTCTCTGCTGTCCTGTAGGCTGAGATGTGTCTTGGTACATATCATATTTCCCAAGAATACGAGAGACTTTTGTCTCCTCGATGGTGATGGGGTCTGCTCTGAGATTGACATTATTGACGACAAGTTCGCCTCGAAATAGACTGTCCGCCTGCTTCTTCTTATTTCCCTTCTTTGAACGTTGAGGGCCTGTGTATTTGTGGGCGAAGTTCCTTAGCATGAACTGAGGAACAAAATGTTGGTATTCGGGCTTGGCCGAAGCCGTCCGCGCCGAACTAGACATCATTACAAGAACTTCTTGTCAGAGGGGAGTCAGAGGACATGTGGTCTATTGAATCAAAAATTAGACTTAATCTTGGAAAGGAGCTTAAACGTTCAGTTCAGATGCTAGGCAGCGACCATGTCAGAGACCCGACCCCAACAGGATTGCGCTCACAACGCGGGGTTCGTACTCCCACACCCAGCGAATCAGCTGTTATATCTGATGATATGACTACTTGAATACATGAAGGAAGCTCCAATCTTACGCCCGCCCATTCTTTTAAACTAAGTGGTTGGAACTATGCTTCCGACGAGTACCAAAGAGAGGTTCTAAAGTAGCAGGCTCCAGACCACTCAATTTTGCAGCCAGCGACTAGACAGGCGTAACAACGCAACTTTGGAGCTCATGTAATTCAGGCAGAGCAGAATCAATGCTAGAGACGTGGGGGTATGCTTACATCAGGCTGCCTGCCTGCGCCACATATGCATTAGTCAGTTTCAAGCGAATAGCCTCATATGAGTAAAAACCGTTTAGGTATTACTACACCTAGGTCTATGTACCTCTTGCTACTTCCATGAGAAATAGTTATGCTTAGCAACCTCGTTACTCACTGAGAGTAGATAGTAGGAATATTAATTGGTTTTTAGTTTTATGTCATATTTTTCTTTTCTGTTGCACCTAGCCTTTCGCGTTATTCTTGCTCTCACGCCCTCGTATTGCTGTCTCTGATAGATCAAAACATACGGGAGGCAACGGGACAGAAACGGGAAGCCTCTAATAATCCATAGGCTCTGCCACCCGATAATATGACTATTTACTACGTACAGGATCACGAATATGCAGTTCGCCAGACCTAGGTCAGGCCTGGTCCCAGTCCCTCGGGTCCGTGTGACAGTAGAAAATAAGAATATGAATGAAAGCTGCAAAACTTGATGACACCATCTGTTCTATGGTGCTACTCTGGAGTATTATCTACCCTTTGATAATCGTTCCGAAAGGTTAGTCTCAGGGGCTTTTGTTGTAATCATATATTCTTCTGGTTTCAATCGGTATCGCTTCGTAGGCTTGTGAGAGAAATGCATGTAATTTTAAGGGAGGAAACCTTCTAAGTTAAGTGACTGTTTATGAATCGACATATTGAATTCAAGAACCGAGACAACATCTAATGGAGATATTGTGTAGGTCCTTTGGGCACTAACATCAATATATATGAGCCGCGCCTAGAGTCGACATCTAGGCAAGTTTCTGATAGTTGAATAGACTTGACGAGAACATAATCTTGGCAAGAACATAATCTGCCATGAAGGGCCTACGATATAGCGGCTGGACATGCCTATAATTATCCCATATATATGACAGCCATCGTAAAGGGGTGTTTCGGAGGTGGGAACATGGCTCTTGATCAATATCACGAATTGAATAAAACTAATAAAATTTGACAGTGGAAACAATTTGTTAAGAGGCAGTTTCACCAGGTCCCTTCATGGAACGATATGCCAGAGCAAATTGTCAAATACTCGGTGCCAAGACCTTACGATTGTATCGTTGTCGTTTCAATAGTATGGGGCACAGAGCACCTTGACCTGGTTGCAGCTGTTTCACGCGCTATTCAAGGGGTCAACTCCACCCGAGTCCACCAACATGCAACACAGCGCCGACAAATGTGGGATCATGTCTTAAGCGCTGGTGACGCCGTGATGATTCTGGGACTTTATAGAAGACTGCAAGTAAATCACCCAGTCTCTCTTGTCTCTAATCCTTTTCCCCATTCCCTTCGTGCCCTCCTTGATTGACTCATCATCAGCAGGCCTGATTCAATTCTCAGTAGATAATCCTTTATTTTAATATTCTATTTACGTCTATATCTCTTACGATGCGTCTTATAAACCAAGCCATTATCGCCTCGGCCTTGTTAGCGGTTGCTCATGGGCAAGCACTGCTTTTGGCAGCTCGGGGGACGAAAGGATCACCAATAAGCCGAGGACTACAAGGTATGCGCCGATCCAGCCGCAACTCAAACGGCAATCAAGTCGATCAATGGGAATCGTCGATAAACAATACTGATGTCTTTCGAAGTCGACTCTAGTGCTCCAGACGATGCAAATTTCATCTCAGATGTCGAAATCTCTACGAATGTCGTCAATGAATGTGGACGCACGCTGTTGGCGGGAAATATCGACATCGGCGAGCAGACAGAGAATGCTCTTGCGGATGGCAACGTCACACAAGCAACAGCCGGCAGTCGTGTAGCAGTACTTATTCAGCAGGTCAACGACACGGGCGCTGGTCCGTTTACGTGCGACATGGACCCGACGGGCAACTCAATTGGCGCAACTGGCCAGACAAAACTTGATGTCAAAGAAGCCCAAGCGAATAAGAACGGAATCATTGGCCTCAGAGTGACGATGCCAAGCGATATGCAATGTACAGGAGGTATGTCTTTACTCTGCCCTTCCCTTTCTTAGAACGCGCGACTCTGCATCTATCTTGTTGCACCAACTAGTGCTAACCACATCATCGCCTTGATTAGCATCTGCTGGTAACGTATGTACGGTGCGTTGCCGGAACGCGAATAACTTTGGCGGATGCTTCGCGGTGCAGCAAACAGATGTAACGCCCAGCGAGAACGATCCTACGACAATCGAGACAATACAGCAGCTGGATGGTATCTTTCAGCAAATTGAGCAGAACATCGCGGACCTCCCTGCCGCTATGGACGCAATTGCGGGAGCTTCACAAGCACCGGCTGATCAGGGCACTGCCGTCGTCGACAAAATCCAGGCCGCCGATCCCTCGACAATAGATAACTAGATAGTAAAAGCCTCTGGTCCTCGCTTTAGCACGCGAACGACAGAGCGATCATAATCCATGCCTTGTGTGGTATCTTTTCACGCGTCTCCTCTTTCCCACATGTTCCCGCTTCATCACTCCTGATTACGGCAACCAATATACCTAGACAAGCCTAAGTCGGATCCCTGTAATTTTTTAAGAATAGAACATTCGCACACAGCTGGAATTTTCTTTTAATACTCGTATGACTAAAATGGCGAGTAAATCCACTACGGCTGGAAGACTGTCCTCGCTGATATCGTCCTCGTGATGTTGCTATAACAGAGATAACTCTTAGCAGCAGGTCAGCTCTTTATATTACTTAAAATTTATTAGTTCCTGCCCTTTATCTAGCACACTTAAAAAGTAGTAGTGTTAAATCAACATTTAAACAAAAATAGCGTAGCTAATATGTTGTATGATTGGATCGACCTAGAAATAGGTTGTAGAAGGGATGGTGTAGGTCTACAAGGCAGTCCCCGTACGGAGTCCTTATATTGCACTGTTCCATCGTACCTGCCATATAGCCGCTTGTAGGTAATTAAAAGTGTGGCTTGTGGCGTTAAGTACTTATGGCTGTGTTTTATACCAAGTGCACGAACATAGGTACACCCATTTCGAAATGAAGTGTCCGACTCCACTTAGATTTTTATAGTATGTCATATATTTTCTAAAACTTACAAACAACGTGTTTTTTTGCTAACAACACTAATTAATATAGCTACGTAAGTGCTGTACTATTTTTTTAATACTTATTTTATTAATTAAATATATAAGCAACTTAATTATTGTTAAAAAGGTTAAATTTGGTCCGTAGCGATATAATCCAGCCCTTCGCGATCCAGCCTTTCGCGATCTAGCTTTTCGCGATCTACCTATTTACGCAAACCAACCTACGAAAACCTACGCAGACCTACCTACGAAGACTAACGCGTACGGGCTGGCAAGTGGTTTAGCAACCTAGCTACGCAGACCTACTTACGAAGACTTACGCAGACCGACCTACGAAAACCTACTTACGCAAACCAACTTATGAAGATTTACGCGTACGGGCTAGCAAGTAGTTTGGAGACTTAGCTACGTAGACCTACTTACGAAGACCTACGCAGATTTACGAAGACCGACGTAGACTAACCTACGAAGACTTACGCGTACGGGCTAGCAAGTGGTCTGGAGACCTAGCCACGCAGACCTACGTATATAACCTACGCGTATAGGCTAGCAAGTAGTCTATACAGGTAGGTTTATATAGCTAGGTCTTTAGACCACTTGCTAGCCCGTACGCGTAGGTTTTCGTAGGTAGGTCTTCGTAGGTTGGTCTGCGTAGGTTTTCGTACGTAGGTCTGCGTAGGTTTTCGTAGGTAGGTCTGCGTGGCTAGGTCTCTAGACCACTTGCTAGCCCGTACGTATAGGTCTTCGTAGGTTGGTTTACGTTAGTTTTCGTAGGTTTGCGTAGGTCTTTGTAGGTAGGTCTACGTAGCTAAGTCTTTAAACCATTTACTAGCCCGTACGTGTAGGTTTTTATAGGTCTGCGTACGTAAGTTTCCGTGGTTAAGTCGCTAAACCACTTACTAGCCTATACGTTTAAATTACTCCGCGATTTTTATACTTATAAATATAAAACCTACTTCTTTAAATTCGCTTTAAAATAAGCTTTATTTTAATATATATATATTTATATTTTATATTATTTATTATTATAAAATAATAATAAAAGGTGTAAAAATTAATTGTTAGTGCAACATAGAAAACGTGTGTGATACACTGTAAAAATCTGAGTGGGGTCGGACACTTTATTTCGAAATGACAGTATTAGGCTGATGTCAGTTGATCTGATTGCTCGATCATAAAGACATTGACTTGAAAAGGAAATCTGGAGAAAAAAAGGTTGGACATGGTCGGGATCGAACCGACAACTCCGGGTGCCGGATAACGAGGCCCGGGTGTTTACCAGTTACACCACACGCCCCTGGCAGGGTTGTGAATAATGAATAATATAACTAACGCACAGAGGTCCCTCTCATATCGCCATCAAGTATTCAGTCAAGTTATAAGACTTCGCCGAAAGCAATTATGGCGAGTCCAAATGAGCAACCTATACTACCAAAACTCTTCAAGGATATATCACCACAAGAGCATTCTACCAAATGGATCAAATGCTGGGAGGACAAATTCACCCCCTGGGATCGGGGAGGACCTAGCATGGCACTCTACGACCTGCTCAGAGAGAACTCAAATGGAGTAATACCTTTGCCCAGCGAGGGTTCCCCCAAAACCGCTCTTGTTCCTGGCTGTGGTAGGGGTCACGACGTCTTACTGCTCAGCTTTTTTGGATACGATGTTTATGGCTTGGACGTCTCATCGCAAGCTCTTGGCGCGGCAAAGGAGAACGCTGAAAGGATACTAAATGAAGGGTCGTATACGATAGAGGGGAGCAAACGAGGAGCCATTACTTGGATCTGCCAAGATTTCTTTGCTGAAGAGTGGAAGGACGTTCAGACTCCGTTCGACCTCATCTTTGACTACACGGTAAGAGGAGGACAGCCCAGCTTTTTCTGTGCTTCTCATGATCTGACAAGTAACGGTGTCGATAGTTCTTCTGTGCTCTACCACCACCCATGCGCCCGGCCTGGGCATCGAAGATGAAGTCGTTGCTCAGCCCCGGCGGCAGACTGGTCTGTTTGGAGTTTCCCTCCGAGAAGAAATCGAGCGAGCCGGGCCCACCCTGGGCCGCCCCTCCAACGGAATATCTTGGGTACCTCTCCAACCCTGGTTCTCAACCACAGACGGATGAGCACGGTGGTGTCATTGCAGAGCAAACGGAATCACCGGTTCCTAATGGTCTCAAGAGGTTACTGCATATGAAGCCTAAACGCACACATGAGAGTGGGACAAAAGACGGCCGAGTTCAGGATTATATATCAGTATGGGCGCATGCTAGTGAGTAGAATTCAAGATCATATCAGTCCATCATCGGATGATTGCTTGCCTGCTCCAAAGATTCAGTGCACTCAATGTATTGAGGTGTGTGGACGTGATCTAAACAGAAAACCGGCCGAGACTCTTTTTGATTGACTGTGCTAGGTAATTCAACTCTTATAGGAACGCTTTACAGCGGTAATCTCTCATGTTTGAACCTCTTCTTCCCCTCGCCCTCTCCGTACACGGCCGTGACATGGCCCTGACCTCGTATCTTGTACTTGTATATCATCAAACCCTCCAGGCCCACAGGGCCTCTGGAGTGAATCTTGTTGGTGCTGATACCGACCTCGGTACCAAAGCCATACCGCATTCCGTCGGCAAAGCGCGTCGACGCATTCCAGTAAACACCTGCCGCGTCTACGCTCGACATGAACTTCTCGGCGAGTTCCGACGACGCTGTCAGGATAACGTCTGTGTGCTTAGAGCCGTGGGTGTTGATGTGTACGATTGCCTCGTCGATGTCTGCCACAGCCTTCACGGCTAACGTCAGGCTGAGGAATTCTGTGTCGAAGTCTGCATCCGTCGCTTCTTCTAGTTTGGTTGATGACGCTGACGACAGCTTGCTGGTGAGGAATTCTTTCGTCGCTTTATCGCAGCGAAGTACTACTCCCTTCGCGATCAAGGCGTCGGCTACGGTAGGAAGGTGGCTTTCAATCGCAGAATGCTGGACAAGAAGAGTTTCTAAGCTGTTGCACGCTGCCGGATAGCTCGTTTTTGAGTCAACAATGACTTCAGCAGCCATCTTGGGGTCCGCGGACTGCTCGAGGAATATGGAGCAAAGACCGTCCGCGTGTCCCAGGACCGGGATCTTAGTATTGGACTTGATGTAGCGAACCAGTTCGTTTGATCCTCGCGGGATGACGAGGTCAATGAATTGATCTAGATCTAGTAGTTGAGGAATTACGTCTCTTGTAGTGACCAATTGGATGGCGTTGTTAGGAACCTGGGTCTTCTCTAATGCTGCAGAGATGACTTTGGAGATGGCGATGAAGGAATCTGTTGACTCCTTTCCTCCTATTCGTGAGTTAGCAAGTTTGAGATTCGAACTGGCATAGCGACATGAACGGGTGTTACCTTTCAATATTGCTGCATTGCCCGACTTGACAGCAAGAGATGCAATGTTGGCGATGACCTCAGGGCGGGCTTCAAAAATTATGAGCAGCACGCCAATCGGGCACGTAACCCGTGTCAGTTCCAAGCCGTCATCAAGCTTCGTCCTCAGAGTTATTTTACCAACTACTGGGCAGTTAGCTCGAAGTTCCAATGGATCGAGTGCACAGACGTACCTGGGTCTTCAAGCTCTCGTACATCTAAAATTCCCTTCAGCATATCCTCCCACTTGCCCTTTTTCCCCAGGTCTAACCTCGACACCAAGCTCTGACTCAACTGGCCATTCTCAGCAGCCTGGCGCGCAGCCTCAAGGTCTCGCGCATTGGCAGCGAGGATTTCGTCCCTGGCCTCGGAGAGCGCGGTATGGATAGCTGTCAATGCATCGTTTCTCGCCGTTACAGAGAGAGTCGCGAGAATATGCGATGCGTCCTTGGCTTCTTTCGCAGCCTCTTTCGGCGATGCGCTAGTCAGCGACATTTTGCAGTCCCTATAACTGAAACCCGACTGTTGACCGAATAATAGGGATATAGTGATAGGGAAGTATTGTTGTATTGTTGTATTGTTGTATTGTAGATGTCGGGTGGCGACCGGAGCCGGCCTGAGTCAAAAAAGATGTTAGTGGCACGGCCGTTTGGGGCTCCGAATCTCGCAACCGTCACATCACCAAACTTACATCGTAACCAAATCAGCGGCACACACTCTTATTAAAAAGAGTTCGGCGTAACAGTTCTGCTCATACTTTACACCGTCGATTTAATGGAACAGTCTTTACTGCGTGCCGCCGTATTGCAATCTAACGCCCATCACCAGCCATTTTCATCAATTGGCACTGTATTCAGTAGGTAGTACTTACGCATACCGAGCCTTGGCGCCCTCGCACCAAGCGATATAGTTTCTCTGTTTATCCATCATCCCGCTCCAGCAAGTTCCGCATCGCTTTACATTACTCTTATCTTTTCTCGCCTTCACTGCGACTCCCCCGCTGGACAAATGCCAACCTAGGCGACGTGGGCGCCTCGTAGCGCCCCCAGATCAAACGCGACCGCTGGTCGTACTTGAATACACCTCCGATACACCAACAACTTGGACCGGTTCGAGGCATGTTTGTGCAAGTAGTAGTCGCATCCATCGCGTGATGTTTAATGTCTACTCCAAAAATTATCGTGTTTGGTAAAAGCACCGCCGCATGAGCTAATTGACATGCATTGTTGCGTATTGCCAAGCCACAAGAGGTTTATAATACTAGGTATACTCCAGTTCACAGCCAAAAGTAGCCAACCGAACTCAAGGAGCATGACCTATCACCATGATGCTTCGAAATCTCGCCCGATTGGCGATTCTTCCGATATTTCAAGCCTGGCTCCCGCAAGTCAACGCAAATCAATATGGAGAAAACCATGCTCCCGTGGAGAGGGACGAGGACCTCGTTGCGGCCCATTTCCCGAATACCAATGACGTGCTCCTCTCTCCAGCTTTCCTGACCCCGCAAACTGTGCTGGATGGCTTCAGCAACGGCACAGATGGTCCAACTGATGATACAACGCTCGGTGCGTGAACTCATCTGACGGTTTTGAGACACTCGCTTACTCGACCTGGCCAGACAATTTTCTGCAATCAATCTCCAATAGAAACGATTGGATTGACTACCGCCAAGCCAAGTTCACTTCTGAAGAAGGACGTCTATTCCCGTATGTTTACTTATCAGAAGCTTCGCAAGCATCGGGCAATAGAAAGGACAAAAAGCTTCGTGTCTGGATTCAAGGGGGCGTACATGGCAATGAACCAGCTGGCGACCAGGCTGTATTAGCGTTGCTTGGTAACCTAGATGCGAACGAGACCTGGACAAAGTCGCTTCTCAAGAAGATGGACGTCGTCCTATTCCCTCGCTATAACCCTGATGGCGTGTCATATTTTCAACGCGACCTTGCTTCGAACTTGGACCCCAATCGCGAGCACACGAAGCTCGCTCGACACCAGTCCCGCGGGATCAAGCAACTACTGAGCTCATTCTCGCCTCATATCGCTGTTGATATGCACGAGTTCACTGGGACTCGACTAACAGACGGTCGCTACAAGCATGGCAGTAAGAGATTTTCGGATTCATTCCTGCTGAATCATCTGCTAATTATAATCATTATAGTGGATGCACTGATCGCGCCTGGCAAGAATCTAAATACACATAAGGACATCCGGAATATCTCTGAGACCCTTTTTGCGTCTGGTATTGCTAAACGACTTGAAGCCTCCGGCTTTCGATGGGAGTCATACTTCACCGCGGCATCGAGCGATGCTCCCGGGATCACACTCGCGGAGGCTGGAAGTGATGCGAAAGCAGGACGTAATAGCTACGGTCTGATGCAGTCGGTGGCCATTCTCAACGAAGTCCGTGGCATTCGTCTCGCCGATCAACACTTCCAGCGGCGAGTATCAACAGCGCTAACGATGGTATCTGCTATCTTTGACATTGCCCTCGAGAATTTCGATGAGGTTTATTCTGGAGTAAGTGTTTGCTTGGCTGGATTTGTGCACGATGCCGACTCATCTGGTATAGGTTGAAAAGGCGATCGAAGATTTCATCGCAAGCAATGACGACATCGTCGTCACTGATTATCGGAATCTCACTAGCCGCTCTGTTTCATTCATCGATGTGACAAATGGTAGTTTGGTACAACTTTCTACTAACTGGCTCAGTACAACGCCAACTATCGCAAATCTTACCAGGACACGCCCAGAAGCGTACTTGATTCCGCGAACGTGGTCAGACCTTGCTATTCGTCTCAAGGAGTCCGGCGTCGTTGTCGAAACTCTTGACTATGAATATCGCGGGACCGTCGAAGCGCTAAAAATCACGTCGGCGTCTCCAGCACGGGCGTATTA